AGCTGTCACAATTACAAAATAAAAAACAAAAAACAGTATTCCGTGAATGGGAAAACTACTAGTCCCGACAGCCTTTCAGCTGTCGGCTTGTAGTCTTCAATGAACTACCACAGTGCTCCACAGCACTGTGGTAGTTCATTGAGCCTTCCTGTCAGTAAGTATCTGCTTGTCCATACAGGATGTACTAGCAAGCAGATAAACTGACAGGTCGAGGGAGACCTGCTTGACACCAGCAATCTGCTGATCGCTGGTGCAATGCTTTAGAGGTTCCACAAACAAAAACTTGTATATGCACATTTTTTACCTGCAAAAAAATGTTCATTTATTATTTTTGTTAAAAGGTGGAATTATCACCAAAACCTTCAGTAAAAAGCTGTTCCACCAATGACAGTGAGGAGAGAAAGCATTTCCCCCAGCACCATGGTGTATACAGAATTACCTATTATGACCACCAATGAAAGAATGGTCACAAAACGCTCATGTAAAAATCATCACTGGGGTGTCCTTGGGTTTTCCTATGCTTTGCTACGCAGACCCCTCCAAAGGGGTTCGCAAAGTTAAAAATGGATAAAAGAAGAAAACTCCCATAGTGTAGTAAGATTTCGATTTATTAAAAATGGTATAAAAACACTCACATCACAATACAGCCACATAGGCAATATCACATATCTTAACCGCCTCCCGCCCACCATATAAAGGAAATGATGGACGGGCGATGGTTTCTCTCGTTCTGGGAGGACGTCATATGATGTCCTCCCACTCTAACCACGTGTGCGATCAGCAGAAAGAGCTGATGACTTCGGCTCTGTCATGTGATCAGCTGTGTCCAATCACAACTGATCGCATGTAAATAAGGAAATGTCAGTTATCAGCATTTCTCTCCTCACAAGCTGTCACGCTCACAGCTCGTGAGAAGAGGAGAGACGGTAATCGGCATTCCTCAGAGGGGACATCTACACTGATCATCAGGCCACTGATGATCAGTGCCCTGATGATCAGTTTAGCCCCATCAGTGCCACCTGTCAGTGTCCATCAATGCCATCTGTCAGTGCCTACCAGTGCACATCAATGCCACATATCAGTGCCCATCTGAGCTGCCTTTCAGTGCCAACTATCAGTGCCAATCAGTGCCACCTCTCAATGCCAGTCAGTGCCTCCTATGAGTGCTGCCTTTCAGTGCCAAATATTAGTGCCAGTCAGTGCAACCTATCAGTGCCAGTCAGTGCCTCCCATGAGTGCTGCCAATCAGTGCCACCTATGAGTGCCAGGCAGTGCTGCCTAACAGTTCCAGTCAGTGCCACCTAACAGTGCCCGTCAGTGGCGCCTATCAGTGCCAGTCAGTACTGCCTATAAATGACATATATCAGTGCAGCCTAATAGTGCCATATATGAGTACTGCCTTTCAGTGCCCATCAGTGATGTCTTTCGATGCTTACCAGTGATGCCTGTCAATGCCCATCAGTGCCACCTACCAGTGCCTCCTCATCAGCGCCGCCTATCAGTGTCCATCAGTGCAGCCTATCAGTGCCCATCACTGCAGCCTCATTAGTGCACATCAGTGAAGGAGAAAAATTACTAATCTACAACATTTTATAACAGAAACTAAGATAAAAAAAAAACTTTATTTTTTCAAAATTTTCAGTTGTTTTTGTTTTGTTTAGCAAAAAATAAAAACCCCAGTGGTGATTAAATACCACCAAAAGAAAGCTCTATCTGTCTCAAAAAAAATTATAAAAATGTCATATTAGTACAGTGTTGCATGACCGTGCAATTGTCATTTAAAGTGCAACAGCACTGAAAGCTGAAAATTGGCCTGGGCAGGAAGGGGGTAAAAGTGCCCGGTAGGCAAGTGGGTAAGGTATGAGCATCCAATCCTCTGCTCACTCTCGTCAAAGCCCACCTCCGGGTCCTGGCTTGCGTGATGGCGTTACTTCCGCTATTCCCTGCCAATACATTTCATCACAGAAGAGGTCATCACGGGGAGTGGCTGGAAGGCAACTTTATAGTAGACAGGAAGTGGAGAGGATCAAAGCTCGCAAACCCAAAGGAATGAGCGGCATAACAACATACAGGGGTTAGATGAAAAAAATGGAAACACTACATGATTTGCGGGTGTGAAAGTGACATCATGTTTTGCGTTGAAAGGGGAAATAATGTAACATTCTTTTGCTTCTGTTGTGTGAGGAGACACCTAGCAAACAGGTAGGAACGGGACGGACTGACCATTTAGCCACTCGGGCACTGCCTGAGGACCCAGGGTCAGTAGGGGGCCCCATGAGATGCCCCTGGTACCTTTCATAGGCTTTTGTGGGTGTGGTTTGAGTGTGAGCGAGGACACAGGAGCCCCATGATTTCCTATTGCCTGGGGGCCCCATGATTTGGCAGTCCGCCCCTGGGTAGGAAGCCTCACTTTTGTCATTCACTGCGTACACTGCTAGTAATACGGAGTTATGGCAGAGCTTACTGGGCTTCAGAGAGGGCAAATTGTTGGTACCTCCTTAGCTGGTGCCTCTGTGACTAAAGTTGCAATTTTTTTGCCGTGTCGCGAGGTACAGTATTAAATGTTATGACAGCATATGCAGTTTCCGGGAAAAGATCTGATAAACATAAGCGTGGTCGAGGTGGTCAACTGATCAAAAGAGACAAAAGGACATTGCGCACGATTGTTACCCAGAATAAGAAAATAACTGCTGCAAAAGTGACTGCAGAGCTCAATCTCAGTCTTCACAGGACTGACACTTTGACAGTGCTTATTTTTGAACATTCACTACATCATTTGCTTTTTATTGGCACTGATGTGTATATTGCATTCATTTACTTTGCTGAATTCATTTGCTTGACCAATTTTGGTCTCATAGATATTTAAATATAGAGATAGATAGTTTTATGTATCTGTTTCTACCTACGTCCTACAACATAGTAAAGAAAGATGTTGTAAATAAGACACCATGAAGCTTGATATTAAAACCAACCATAGTAACATTCACATTACACACAGCAAATGAAGATAATGCTGGATAATATTAAAAAAAAAAATAATCCTAATGAGCAGGATGAACCTGATGCGCTGCTATCAATTTATTAGTGCTCGGCTCTGTTTTTATTTGGGATGGTACATGTGATCGGCAAAGGGCCAATCAGTGCTGTCCAGACGGAGGGTCAAGGGTTATGCAGCCACATAGGACAGTAGGAGGACAATGAAAGCTCCTCCCATGAGATTACCGAGTGCTCAGCTGGACAGAAGTCACAAGACTACTATATACTGCTGATGAGAAAAGGTATTTAGCAGTTTATATTTACTAAAATAATTCCATTTCCATATTCTGTGTACTGTGGAAGACTAGATATAGTGAATGCAGGGTCTTGGGTTTAGTAACACTTTAAAGCAGACTCACTATTAATGCTGTCTGTTGTACGCAGGGGCGGACTGACAACTCATGGGGCCCCCAGGCAATAGGGGATCATGGGGCCCCTGTGTCCTTGCCCAAACTCAAAAAGCCTATGAAAAAGGTACCAGGGGCATCTCATGGGGCCCCCTACTGATCCCGGGCACTTGGGCAGTGCCCGAGTTTCCAAATGGTCAGTCCGCCCCTGGTTGTATGCTTATATTCAACCATAAACTTGCCTTTAACATATTCCAATGTCAGTTCATCTTCTGGGCATGCATCAAGTTCTCTGACAAGCGTTTCATAACTTTCTGGCAAACCACTCAGTAAAAGTGCTGCGACATGAAAATTTTTTATTTTTCCTCCTATATCTCTCAGGCGGTCAGCCATTTTCAACGTGTGCCTTATGTAATCATTTCCTGGCCTTTCATCAGCTTGGTTTTGTATAGCTTTCTAATCAAATACAAATTATTGCTGAGATTAGCTCTTTCGTGTACTTTTTGTAATCCTTCCCATATTTATTTAGCAGTTTTCAAACTTACATATACAGTATGTATGATTTGACTATCTTCTATGCTGAAAGAGATGGTGCTCTGCACTTTCTTATCTTTCTCTATCCACTTATCTGGAGAGTGATCTGGCCTGACTTCATTTATACATTTCCACATACCTTCTCTTATTAGCAGCATTTTCATCTTGAATTTCCAAGACTGGTAGTTCTGGTTTGTCAGATTTGCAAATGAAAGCTTTGTTGTAGCTGTGTTGCTGGCCGTTTTTTTTTTTTATTTATTATTATTATACAGGATATATATAGCGCCAATGGTTTGCTCAGTGCTTTACATTATAGTGGGAGACAATACAGCAATAATACAGTTCAATACAAGAGGGATTAGAGGGCCCTGCTCCTTGGAGCTTACAATCTAGGAGGGGGGGTAAATGGTACAATAGGTAATAACTGTGGGGGATGGAGTGGTTGGAAGAGTAGAGGATTCCAGTATTAGCACAGGGCGGGATAGGCTTCCCTGAAGAAATAGGTTTTCAGTGATCGCCTAAAAGTAAGTAGAGTAGCCTTTTATTTCTGTTACAGTCATCTTTCTGTTGCTGTACCTTACACTTCTTTTTCTGTAGCTGGCTATGCCTGGGGTGTCTGGGTGGTAGTATGGGCCCATAACCTGTTAGAGATTCTGTATATAGCCCTATAGAATAGACAGTATACAGTCCATATGTGTTTATCTGCTGCTTCTCTGCTAACACGAAACAGGAACTTTTTATTATAGGAAAAAGACAGAGTATAATCATAGCTGCAGCTACAAACATAAATACTGCCATCTACTAGCTGAAGAATATATCTCTATTGAACACTGAAGTAGTTGTTGCAAAATACATGAACAATGTATTCCAACAGTATCATATTGTAAACAAGTCATTACATGCACATATTCCAGGCAAGGCATGCTGGACTTCCCCAACAATGTGCGACACACTTGCCTGCCAACATTTGCTTATTAAAGCTAATCTCTGAGCAAAAAAAAAGTTTTCCCTTGTAGTGGGGCTGTGCCTGCACTGCAAAGATTAATTGCTTGTTTATGTCTAGGGCAGGGGTGGACTGACAACTCATGGGGCCCCCAGGCAATAGGGGATCATGGGGCCCCTGTGTCCTTGCCCAAACTCAAAAAAGCCTATGAAAAAGGTACCAGGGGCATCTCATGGGGCCCCCTACTGACCCCAGGCCCTCGGGCAGTGCCCGAGTGTCCAAATGGTCAGTCCGCCCCTGGTCTAGGGGAAAGACAAAGGGTGATATACTTACTCGATCATTGGCTCCTCTCCACACAAGACTGGTCCCTGCAGCTCCTGCAACTCTGTGCTCTAAGAACAGTCCACCTCTGGATGGGGGAGCACTGGCTGTCAGGGGAGCAGAGGATCAGGCAAGTATAAGAGTTTCTCTTTTCCCCTGGACAAAACGAATACGAGTATCTTGCAGTGTGGGTGCAGCTCCACTGCAAGGGATTTTTTTTTTCTGCTTGGAGTTGGGCTTTAAGACATGTCAGAGGACTTGATCACTGATCAGATATATAATTGCATTTTGTGTGTTTATTTCAAAAATAAAATAATCACTATGACTTTAACTCGATGTTACACAACAGATGATGAAACATGTACAAAATTTTTTATGTTCTTCTCTTCTCTCCTTTTTTTTATACTTCCACTGCCCCCTTATTTCTGTTCAACACCTCCCCCCAGTTGAAACCAAGGCTACTACTGCCCCCCGGATTGTTGTAGCTCTGCCCTGGGGGGTTTCCTCAACTTTGGGAAGCACTACCTTAGAAGATGGCTCACTGGATGAGTTTACCTTTATAGGCAAATTTGGTCTGTGGGAGGTCAGTTATCAAAAGCAAGTTGTGTGTTTGATAATTGTCCATAAGGGTACTGAATTTCTAGCCTGCTCAGTAGTGTCAGAGCACCTAGGGGTCTCCCAAAGCTCTAAAGCCTCTTAAGCAATTATTAATTCCACAGCTTAATGACTAATAACTGAACACCTCCTGCTGCCCCCCACACCTACTGTACCTTATGGCTACCAAATACAATGTGTGGCCCGACTAGTAAGGAGGAGTAGGGCTGATTAGCATCCAGAAGGTTGTGTAGTCCATACTTGCCAACTGTCCCTGATTTGCTGGGACAGTCTCAATTTCTGTTTACCTATCCCTTGAAGCATTTGTCCTGCTTTGTGTCTGTAGATCATAGCCTGAAACTTGCTGTGCCTGTCAGGACCCCTGTCTAACCCTGCCACATTGCAGTATACCTTTCACAGAGCCCATTCATATGTAAACGACCAGGCATTCATATGTACACATATAAAAACAATCTCAAACCAGGTGCCTAGTACCAAAATGGAAATAGACTCACAATATAGGAAATAAACAATGAAAAAACATGAAAAAAAATATTGTATATTGGGAGGAGACGCAAGTATATATCAATATCAATAAACCACCGAAGATAAAAATTGACCTGACTTTGACTACCAACACCTTTCTAAAGATACTTCAATGAAATAGCATGACATGTTAGCATAGACATACACTATATTGCCAAAAGTATTGGGACACCCCTCCAAATCATTGGATTCAGGTGTTCCAATCATCTTCATGGCCACAGGTGTATAAAATCAAACACCTGGGCATGCAAACTGCTTTTAAAAAAAATGTGTGAAAGAATAGGTTGATTTCAAGGGCTCAGTGAATTCAAGCGTGGTACCATTCTTTCACAAATGTTTGTAGAAGCAGTCTGCATGCCTAGGTGCTTGATTTTATACACCTGTGGCCATGGAGGTGATTGGAACAGCTGAATCCAATGATTTGGAGAAGTGACACAATACTTTTGGCAATATAGTGTATATTGTACCCTGTGTGCTAAGGAAAACCAGCCATGTACAGTATATCTTCATATGACTTGTAAAGACTCCACCCATTCTGCCAGTATTAATACCGGTCCATAAAAGCAGTCCACACATGGAAAATCATTTTTAGGGTGAGTCATAGATTTTGTGCCATACAGACAACTGCAACAGAGGTACATGGAAGTCCACTCAAACTAAGCCAAATTGTGACCCCAATTCCTGATACACAACAATATAAATATGCAGAGGAAGCCAGGGTGTCCACGCAAGGAAGGGGGCAGACCAGGGGCGGACTGACAACTCATGGGGCCCCCGGGCAATAGGAAATCATGGGGCCCCTGTGTCCTTGCCCACACTCAAACCACACTCATAAAAGCCTATGAAAGGTACCAGGGGCATCTCATGGAGATCCACCAATGTGCACAAGAGTCTCAGCTCTCCGGGGACTCTCCTCCTCATTGGCTGAGACAGCAGCGGGAGCCATTTGCTCCTGCTGCTGTAAATCACAGTCAGTGAAACAATGAGCTGTGGTCCCCCATGCCCCTGCAATACATTTGTGGTTTAATCAAGTCTGTGAGCTAGCAGCCCAACACTAGATTTTACCAACTGGGTTGCAGATGCATAAGACATTGCAGCTATCGAAAGGAGAAAAACAACAAGCAATAAATAAAAGTGGCGTCATACAGGAAGATGTTCAGCCTCCAGGAGGAGGTATTAAGGAGGTCGTTAATCACCGAAAGAAAACTCTAAATACAAGAGACATCTTAATCTTATGTCCACTTCAAGGGACACCAGCATTTCTTGACCAAACTTTGTGTGAGGTCAAAAGCTCTAGGGGAGGGTACATCTGGTGTTTTGGTGGTGGATTAATACAAGTGATATTAAGAAGACATGAAGTAATCAGGGGAATGCATTTCATTATTTGGGGAAGAAGCACTAATTAAGAGATTCTTGTCTGGCCAAACTGGCAGATTTTTTTAGACACAGTGAGAAATCAAACTATCATGTTAAAACGTAACAATTTTATTAAACATTAAAATAATCACAAACAAAATAAAACAACAAATACAGGACCCCCTAACATAAAGGGGGAATAGTGCCTGGCATAGCTCTTTACATCTTAAATGGTACATATCACCTAGTGGACAAGTTCTTCTTCCAAAAGAGTATAACTCTAAGCTAAGAAACGGTCAACACATTTCGCCTGTGCATATGGCTTCTTCAGCACTGTGACTTCTCTGTAAAGGGAAACAGTACTACAAAATAAAAATAAAAAAAACAAAACATATGTACACAATCAATTACATAAGGCAAAATAATAAGGATATACGTGTAACATGCAAACAATCATTGTTGGGCCTACATTCAGGAGTGACAGCCAATGATAACTAGTCTGGGGGGGTGGACATAGGAGACTCAGATGTGGTACACCTAGGCAAGAAACCAGGGAGCCTAATGACATGTATCTAGAATCCTATAAAGGGACGCAAATAATATAAGTACCGTATTTTTAGCTCCATAAGACGCACCTGACTATAAGATGCGCCTAGATTTTAGAGGAGAAAAACAAGAAAAAAAATATTCTGAACCAATGGACTGCAGACATAGTACAGGGGATGACCAGAGACTGCGGACACAGTACAGGAGATGACCAGAGACTGCGGACACATTACGGGAGATGACCAGAGACTGCAGACAGTACAGGGGATGACCAGAGACTGCAGACAGTACAGGGGATGACCAGAGACTGCAGACAGTACAGGGGGATGACCAGAGACTGCAGACAGTACAGGGGATGACCAGAGACTGCAGACAGTACAGGAGATGACCAGAGACTGCAGACAGTACAGGAGATGACCAGAGACTGCAGACAGTACAGGAGATGACCAGAGACTGTGGACCTTTGGGGAGGGAGGGGGAGCGGGTACCTGAATTTGACAGGTACCCGCTCCCACTTCCACCTAGTTGTCCTTCCCAGGGGCAGACTGACCATTTGGAAACTCGGGCACTGCCCGAGGGCCCGGGATCAGTTGGGGGCCCCATGAGATGCCCCTGGTACCTTTTTCATAGGATTTTTTGAGTTTGGGCAAGGACACAGGGACCTCATGATCCCCTATTGCCCAGGGCCCCATGAGTTGTCAGTCCACCCCTGGTCCTTCCTTTAGTGTGGGCACCCGGCTGTGACAGCCGGGTGCCCACTGCGCATGTGCGATTAGCGCTGCACTTTGTGATCGGCCCGGCATCTTCTGGGACACATGACAGCTCCCAGAAGACGCCGGGCCATTCACAAGGCGCAGTGCTTCTCGCGCGTGCGCAGTAGGCACCTGGCTGTCACAGCCAGGTTCCCACACTAAAGATGCGGGCACGGGAAGACGGTACAGCGCTGGACCGAGGAACTGGTAAGGTCCTGCTGCAGAGAAGAGCTGAGCGGCCAGCCTGGTATTCTGACACTGTTTCGGCGGCAGAAATACTGGACCAGCCGCTCCATATTCGCTCCATAAGACGCACTGACAGTTGCCCCCCTTTTTTGGGGGGAAAAAAGTGTGTCTTATGGAGTGAAAAATACAGTATATTATAGGTATAGGTGTGTTTGTTACCAAATATTTAATACTGTGAAGTGAAAACAAACAAGAAGCGCACCAACCTTGCGCATTACCTCAATAGACCAAAATTTATTGAATACAGAATGATACTCACAAACAACGAAGTATTTCAAGCATGTAAGTCCTCAAAGGAACTATGGAATAGTAAAGCCTGTGCGAGTCCCATCATATAGGGGTGGACACTCAGGGTACAGCTGACGCGTTTCGAAGAGCGTCCCTTCTTCATCAGAGCTTGCTCCCCCTATGATGGGACTCGCGCAGGCTTTACTATTCCATAGTTCCTTTGAGGACTTACATGCTTGAAATACTTCGTTGTTTGTGAGTATCATTCTGTATTCAATAAATTTTGGTCTATTGAGATAATGCGCAAGGTTGGTGCGCTTCTTGTTTGCTTTCGCTTC